ACTTCAACTACACGGGAAAAAAAAACATATTGAATCTAGAGTCTAGACTCTTAAAAACATCGAAAAGAAAAAATACTCTTGATTCAATCAGATTTAAGCTTAAACCAAGAACCAAGCCTCTTAATTTGAGCGGACTTCCTTTTTATTGAAGCTTAAATCTGATTGAATCAAGGGTCCTTTTTCTTGTCAATGTTTTCAAGAGTCTGGACTCTAGATACAATGTGTTTTTTTTTCAAGTGTGGCATTTTTATAGCTTCTGAAAATGTAAAGCATGACACTGGGGGAAAAAACACATTGGATCTAGAGTCCAGACTCTTGAGAACATTGACAAAAAAAGGACCCCGCGAAAAAATACTCTTGATTCAATCGGATTTTTGCTTGAATCAAAACGAAATCCACTTAAATTAAGAGGCTTGGTTCTTGATTTCAGCTAGATTCTGATTGAATCAAGAGTACTTTTTCTTGTCGATGTTTTTAAGAGTCTGGACTCTAGATCCAATGTGTTTTTTTTTCCAGTGCGGCACTCACTTTGAATAAAGTGCCTGTAAAGGGAGAGCAACTCCCTACATATATTTTTAGTATCGGAAAGATGTGCCGCTTTTCCATCGGTCCATGATTGGTAGACAGTTATTTAGCTCTTTACGGCCGTAGGTAAACAAACATTCCTGGTGGTTGATAGCCGTTAGGAAAAGCACACCAACCACATCACGAGCAAAACTCAAGGTGTACATTTACAAACCCTCTCTCCATGGAATTCGTGACTTTCATTGAACGCGATAATGTCATTAGAACTTAAAATTAAATTTAATGCCTTCATTTTTTCATTTTTTTATTTTGCTTTCTTATGCGTAAGATTATTACGTTATTTATTAGATAGTTTATAATTATTTATTTAGATCTCGGTTCGTAAGAGAGGCTTCAACGATTGTAACCACTTTTCCACAAATTCCGCAGCAAAGAAATACCTACTTTTTTCGTTGTTGGGCACTCTAATTTGGCTAAATTGTCGCAAATCACTGCAATCTCTAAAAGCTCCTTCATTTTGTCGGGTATGCAATCCTGACATCAGGATGCTAAAATAATGTATCGAGATAGTAGCGGACCTCTGACCCAGGTCAAAGGGACAAGCCGTGAGGCGCCCTTACTTCAGCTGCTCTGCCGTGCTAGGGAAGAACGCCGTATAAACATTCGAGAGATGCCAAATGTCCCTTGATAAAACATGAATTTGTGACAACATTCGTGCATATTTTTCCTTGGAATTTTCAAATATTTTATATTGAATTGCGTACGAAATTGTCTGAAAACTTTGGAAAATGATATTCAAAGTTTTTCCCCGTAAATTCGGTTTTTATCGGAGGAATCTCGGCAACGCCTGAAGGCTCATACGGCGCACTTTCTTATGCCGAAATTACGGGCTGAATTTGGCAGCTGAATGTGGCAGTCAACATTCAGCGCTCAACAGCTGAAATTTCACTAATTCGAGTTATTTTCATCCAAATGTGTATCAAATCTATTCGAATTGTTCGCACAAATCCGACATTATCCGATGGTCGCTGAGAATCGTTCAGCAAACTCGGCAACTCAGAAAGCTCCGGCAAATTCGGCCGACGACTTCCAGATTCAAGCCACATTCAGCGTGTGATTGCGGCGTTAGAACGGCAGCACTCGGCTGCCGATCATCGCAATCATTCTAGGCTCCTTCATCTCGTTGAATATGCAATTTGATTTGCGGGGAGTTAAAACATTTATTCCAAGTCCAAGTGACCGTCCACGGCCACCAACCTCTTCGGGCAAGGAGGACCAATTGTCCCAATTCAATTTATTTGGGACTCTAGATTTTAGTACCATTCGCATATAATCTAGATCATTGCGCATTATACAGACTCAAACTCCACCGTGCTATATAAAAAGGACCCATCAAAATTTGTAATTTTTCGAATTTCAGCTGATAAAACGTGAATTCCCTGGAAAACTTGTGAATAATTTTCTTTGAAATTCCACGGACTGCCCTTGCACTAATTTGGATTGCACCCGAAAATTTCAAGGAAAAACATTTGTCGTATGTTTAAGTTAGTCGGATTAAATTTTCTCGAAAATAAATACTTGTCCTGCGGAGAAATGAGGGCACGAAAGTCTCATGGCAGCATTTTTACTTAGAATTCCTAAACTCTACCGTGTTTTCTCTGATCTGTTTTCAAAAAATTCCTTGACTTTCGAGACGGTAAAGAATATTTTGATGGCTGAAGTCGAAAAACGCCTATCTCCGATTACGACTTTGAAAATCTCCGCTCATATTTTCTTTGGTTGGGAGAAATTTGACAATGGTCCTGAAAACTGTCTGCGAATTTCCTTCAGTCATTCGATAATTTTAACATATACCTGCTCTTCAAAGTATGTTTCGGTTCATCTTGTTCCAAAGAAAGAAAATATAATCGGAGTTTTTTGAACGTTGCGAAGAAGATGCGATTTCTTTGTATTTTAGTCCATTGACTTTTATGATATTTTGAATCCAGCTGCAATACAAGCTGAGGCTAAAAATCGTCGGCGTAAGTCTGCAGTCACATATCGACGGTGAAACTACCAAACCACGTATCTCGGTTTGCGACGTCGCAGACTTCCTGTCATACTTTATTTTTTAAATTAAAAACTACCTAACATCCAGTCTTGAAAATTTCTGTGATTTTTCCTCTTTGTGCGGAGAAAATTCCGTGAAAATTTCAAAGAATGATATTGATTTGGTCTACTTCAAAAAAATAAAATGTGAGCGTAGATTTTTAAACACCGCAAACGAGATACGTGGTTTGGTAGTTTCACCGTCGATATCTCGTTTGCGGTGCCTGAAAATCTCCGTCCCTATGTTATTTTTTTAAAGGAGAACACATTGACATAATTTCTCGAAGTTTATGCCGAATTTTCTTCGCACAAAGAATAAAAATCACGGCGGCTTTAAAGAATTGCCGTTGAGTAGTTTTCCGTTTAAAAAATAAAGAATGACAGGAAGTCTGCGACGTCGCAATCCGAGTTATGTGATTGCCGACTCACACCGTCGAAATGTAGAATGCATGCACTATCGCCGAATTTAGTTTCCCGCAGAGTCTCTGGTGACTACTTCTGCCGTGCTAAGGAAGAACGCCGTATCAGCCTTCAGGCGTTGCCAAATTTCCTTTGATAAAACACGAATTTCCTTGTAAATTTATGAATATTTTCCTGTTGATTTTTCAGGTTGATTTCACTCGCAGTCTCTGCTAAAGTTCCTGAAAATTTCAAGGGAAAATATTCATAACTTTCCTCGAAAACAAACATTTTATCGGAGGAAATTTGGCAACTCTCGAATGTTCATACGGCGTTCTTCCTTAGCACGACAGACTTAGCGACGGCGCGCGGCGCGGCGCGTAGCCTGATAATATCTATCTATACTATAAGCTCCAAGACCTCCTAATTTTGCGAAACTGGTAACGCTTAGTTCCAGCGTTCTACCGGGCCGATTTTCATGATTTTTGCGGCTATCGACGGCCAATTGTCTCTAGATAAGCCAACTCTTTTCAGATTTTCAAAATATGGCCCAGGTTTTTTTATATTACGTGGTAAAGTTGCGAATTCTCCCATTTAAACAATGTAAATTTATACTTTTTGTCATAGTTCGTTTGAGCGTTCTACCGGGCCGATTTCCATGATTTTTGCGTAAATCGACAGGTAATAGGCCCTAGATGAGCCCGCTGCAATCAGATTTTGGAAAAAGGACCCAGGTTTTTTTAAAATCACGTTATAAAAAAGAGTGAGTTTACAGAATGCTCCGGTACTGCTTCCGCTATGCGCGGGAGGATGCGCAATGGTCGAGGAGGTTGCGCAGTAGCTGGGTAGCCTGCGCATCAGCTCTACACTTATCTACACGAGATTCGCACAGATTACCTCAAGTCGAGCGGTGGCTGAGTCGTCTAAAGACGTCAAATGCGTCCGCTTTGATCACAGAGCGGGTTCGATCCCCGACTTAAGAAGAATCTTAATTATTACCTGACTATCATTGTTCATTGTTTTACTGCAATATTTCATCAAACAGTCATTCCAAAACGCGTCCTTTTAATTTTAAAGTAATTTTAAGTATAAAGTTTAAAATTAAAGTATACCTCATATTTAAATAAGTATTTTTTTTAGGGGAAAAATAAAACTAACACTGATAGGAGGGTAAAAATAGGGCCGCGAAGCGGCCCATTGATGGCGCGGAGCGCCTTCAGGGGGTTGGGCCGCGTAGCGGCCAGGGGGCGTACCCCCTAGTGCTCTTATGATAACGCACTCGTTCCTCTCTGAGCGCGTAGTCCTTAACACACACGCACGTGGGAACATTTGAAGTTTGCCAAATATTTTAATATTCTTCCATAACATTTTCAGACTATTTATATCAAATCGTCGCTTGGCTGACATAAGGGCGTAACTGCACATTGAGATGATCCCGGAAAAGCATCGATATGTATGGAAGACAGGGTTCATTGCAGAGTGTAGTTACACCTTTATATCAGGAAGACGACTAAATCACGAGGAAAATTCTTTGAAAAATTGGAAGAAACATATCTACGAATTTCCCCAAAAACTTCTGATTTATCCGAGGAAATTTGGCAACGGCTGAGGGTTAACACGACGTTTTGCCTTAGCACGGCAGCGCTGTCCTTCGTGACAACTGAGATTCGTGTTTTGGTGAAGTGTGACTATACCCCGCCCCTCCTTTTCCAAGTTTTCCCCCAACGCGACGGGTATTTTGTCATCGCCTCAGTCAACACCCAGACTCTTATCTCTCTTTTACTGCCGATTTCCTTTTCATCCGAGACTCTTCAACAGAATTTTCTCTGATGCCGCCGGCCGGTCGCCAAACGGCCAGACAGGGATTCTGTCGAGCGGAGGTTCGGCATATATGCTGGCCACCCCTCCCCCCCCCCCACCACCACCTCCTTACCAGGGACTGATCGGAGACGTTACGTGAAACGTCGGAGGCAGTCCGCTGTGAGAAATCGAAGGTGACGGTTCAGACCTCCACAGTGGCTTGTGATTTTAAGGAACTAATTTTTCTGTCAAATTCGGTAGATCTTCGCTGTTATAATTTTGAAACGCTTCTTATTCTGTCCAATATTCCACAGTTTGTTGAGTTTCATTAGAGTTGAAAGTAAATGTCACCCGTATTCGTCGTCATTGAATGCGCTTTCGGTAGCTCGTTTTCCGTGATACTGAAATGATATTTGGTTCGAGGATGGCATTTTGGAAGTCAGTTCGTTCGAATGTAAATCACTCCGTGTTTTTGGTAAGTCAGTTGCTCATATCATTAAAAATTGACCCGCGTTGGGTGCAGAAAGGGTAATTCTTGGTTGCGATACTTCAGAATCTCCATTGTTAGTTTATATTTAAAAGAGGAAACTATTGAGAGAATTTTTTAAAATTTTTAGTTTTCAGCATTGTAAAATTGTAAAGGTAATCTAGAAAAAATTTTAATGAATTTTTTACGTTTCCTTTAATTATCGTGGCTGAAGTGTTAGGTAACACAGCTCCTAAGACACCGCAACCAAGAACTGCCCTTTTTTCACCCAATGCTTCAATTTTCCTCGTCAGAAAAGAAATGCTTCTATGAAATGTTTTTTAAAAAAATGCGTAAGGCTTCAGAGGGCGTAGGATCTTCGCCACCTTTATGCAGAGTGAACGAGAAGGGAGGGGGGGGGGGACTATTGAGCAAAGTGACGATACGTAACGATTTTGAGAAATTTTACTTCATAAGGATTTCAAAAGTGCTTCACAGCTCTATGTCTGTGGTTCGGAGAAGTTTTGACAGATCGGGGCTTGGTAAGCCTGCATAGAAGGCGTCCTAGCGAAGAGTAACTATTAATCTTGTTAACTTATCAACTGCTATACTTCCGAAAATCTCCTAGGAAAAGGAACACGAAATTTCAAGGTCCATAGTTTCTCGGCAGGAGAAAGTGGCGAAGAAGCATGAATTTCGCAGTAAATTTAATTTTTCTCTGAAAAGCTTGGCCTGAGTAAAATATCAGTTTCCCGGAAATTGGTGGGTATTGAGTAAAACGGAGGTCATTTTCGGACTTAGCGCTGCAGATTGCATAAGATTCAACCATCATATTCCCAACAATTTCTTTTCATTTTATTTTTTGCAGACCTGCGTAATTTTTTGAACCATAGTTCGGTGCAAAAAACATTTTTCACTGAGGAAATTTCAACGAAATCAATGGTCGATTTTCATTTTACCGGATATGCTTTCTAGGTGTGAAAAAAGGGTCACGCGCCGAAAATATTCATTCGGATTTTCAATTATCTGCACGTTGTTAGTGTATTTTCCGAAGGAAATACACTATTGCATTCTCCCATGATGTCGGACCCAGACCTGAGACATTGTGAAGAGCACCGATCACGGGTCGTAGATCACGAAAATATATGCTATTCAAATTCATGTGTATATANTTGTTATATGGGGGCGTTCAAGTATTACGTAACCGTAACGTATTTTTTCCAATTTTGACCCTCCTCTCCCCCTTGTAACGCACCCGTAACGCAGCCCCTTTTGAATTACGTAATGCTAGCCCTCAAAATTTCAAAATATCAGGAAACTCTGAGAAAACAGTTTGCGAAAAAATTCTGGTTTTTTGGAGATATTTCGGTGAAATTCAACGGCAAGAGATCAACAGAGGTGTGAAAAAAGGATTACGCGCCGAAAATATTCATTCGGATTTTCAATTATCTGCACGTTGTTTTTCAAAGCCCCCCCCCCCGGCTCGAATTTGCTATGTAACGCTGAGCTTGACCCTTCCCTCATGTAACGCAACGTTACGATAGCTTAAACCTCCCCTAAATTTGTCACGTAAATGGTCCCTAAATTATATCATGGTAGTTTCCCGCTCAAAGACTTTGGGGTTGCGGGTTTTTACAGATTTTGTTAAGGCCACCCGTGCTGTAAAAGAGGTTTTCTCTAGGTTCTTTTCAGCCTCCCCTCCCCCTCTATGTCGCAACGCTGGCCAGTTGCAAAAATCAGATCCTTTTTTCCGTCTGGTCGCGTCGGCGTCGTCTCAAAGAGAGCCAGACAGCTTGTTTTGCGTAGGAAATCTAGATAAGACGACAGAGTCTAGACAGGGTAACAATGGAACCGGCCTGAAAAGGCAGGTGGAGCAGCCAAAATTGGTTTCTCGAAACTTCGAAAAGGTTACATAAGAGAGAGCGACAAAGAGACTTATCGGTTTCCCGTCGGAAGAAGTGTCAGACTGAAACGGCAAGGGTAGGAGGAGGGCCGGGCCCCCACACACACGCACGCACACGTTTTTCGCCGGACCTAAAGTCCGGGCGGTGCCGTGGTGGTTTCAGACCTTTCGGGTACACGTGCGGATCCCCCCTCCCCTCTCCCCTTTCCAACGACGTCCGGCCTATGTCATTTTCCTTTGCCAGTTGTCCGTCTAGTTCAGAGATTGTCTCCCACTTGCGCGCAGTGTCCGTCCGGTGGCTAGTAGCCTCTCTTGAAATCTTCATTCCATTCATTTTAGTGTCAAAACGTTTCTTCTACGGTTGAGCTGCTCCTCTTGTAGTGCCTGGCAATTGTTTTCGAGGAAATTTCAAGACATCGTGTGTAAATCCTCGCTAAATGTAATCGTGATGAGAGAGGCATTTTCTCTGTGACAAATTCTCGATCTGATCAGTTCACCCATGCGTTAAAATCCCGATTGCACCGCGCGCGCCGGCCGTCCGTGAGTTTTGTAAACTTTCAGGTGCATTTCCGAAGGCTCCGTTTGCGTTCGTGAAATTCATAAGTGACTACACGTGCTCGCCCTCTCCTAATCGTGAAAAATTAGCAGCTTCAGCTATACCTAAAGCCGAGTGAGTTTGTCTAAATTCATTTTTCTATGTACAGTCGGGTTGGCGGACAGTTGGCTTGTGTTTTTTATTTTTTCCGCCTAACGTGGAACTTCAATATTCTATTTACTACTTTATTGTTCTCTCCAAGTTTTGAATCAATTCATGTATAATCTCGCAATAATTAAAGTATTCATAGGGTGTGAGCATTTAAATGCTCAAATCGGGAAATACCATACTATTTTAACTAGAAACATGGCCCTAATTATTTATGCAAAAATTGAACCGTTCATGGGGGCGCAAGTCAAATTTTGCTGATTTCCTATTCGAGGACAATTGATTGCGGGTGGAAATCTTTTTTTTTTTCTTCCTAATATTTCGCATTCTGGAGAGGTGATGTAGGTATGAGAGGAGTATCCTAAGAGTAAAATTCAAATGAATTTATTCACTTGTTTCTGCATCATGAACTCGGCCTCAAAAATCACGAATTATGATTTACGAGTACCTGTTTTTTTTATTGTGGCTTAAGGACGATTTTTAAGATCGAGTCACTGTGATTATACTTCTACCGACAAAATTTCTACCACCAATCTCCCTCTGCGCAATCCAGTGGCGTGGTGTGAATGATCGGTTATCGATATCTCGCCATTTGAAGCTATGGTAAATAATCGATTACCAAGGTGTTCGCTGCGAACACCTTAATAATCGATCTTTTTTCATAGGTTTGAGTGGCGTATCAATCGATATATCGCAAAGCACGCCACGCCACTGGCGCAATCTGCATCGTTTCATGCTCTTATTTTTTGAATTATAAACTTAAAAAGCTCCTAATCCTATATCTAACCCACTGTCTTATTTTCTCCCATCTCGAAATTGTGGCTCCCTATTTTCACTTCAAATCATAGCTCTCATCCCTTTGATACATTTCGATTATTTTCTTTTCGTTTTATTTTTCAGATTTTCCAGCCTCACAACTGGTCTGTTACAAACTTTTGAGTCGCATAAGGTATGTAGTCTTATTTTTTGACATTACCGTATGTTTCAGCTTCTTCTCATCATTTTAATATTCCAATGATGCGTAGACTTAACTTTTTTCTTCCACATCACTTTTCGTCGGCAGGGATACCATTATTAACCTCATTCAAATTCATTCCTTTTATATCCCATTTCATTCATCCATTTTCCTTGATTTTCACGGTGTTTCCTGCCATTTTTTTCATTTTTCTTATTTTTTTTTTTTTAATTTCCCCCGACAAATTATTCTCAGCTCTCTGCATCATTTTTCATGTGGCATTTTCGACGAATCTAAATCCTTGTATATTTACTGTCCGTTGACTCTCCTCTTCTCCGGCAATTTGTCGCCCCCCCCCCCCCCGGTAAGGACGTAACTCCATTTCAACGTTGCCAGATTTCTCCTCGCGAATTGCATATTAACAAGGGAAATTTTGGGCAGTTCTAACCGAAAACTTCACCGATTATTCCTTGGATTTAAGGTGATTCGATGGACGCCATATTTTGTGTCAGAACGGCATGCGATATATCGCATCAATTGGTTCCACTTTTTCGGCTACTCGTCATTTTTCTCCAATTTTGAGATCGCAATTTTGTTCTCAGGAGACTAAAGCACTCACTAACCAATTTTAACAAAGAAATTCAATGTAATAAAGGCGTGGTTTTTTTAGAGAGAAAATATCGCATTCGAGTGCAGTTTCGATATCAGTATCGAATGCGATGTTTTCTCTCTAAAAAAAACCACGCCTTTATTACGTTGAATATCTTTGTTAAAATTGGTGAGTGCTTTAGTCTCCTGACAACGGAATTGCGATCTCAAAATTGGAGAAAAACGACGAGTAGCTGAAAAAATGGAACCAATTGATGTGATATATCGCATGCCGTTCTGACACAAAGTATGGCGTCCATCGAATCACCTTAATGCGAAATTCAGACAAATTTTGACTTAAAATTGCTCAGGTACATTTTAGTAAAATAAAACAGTAAAAAATAGTAAAAAGTTTCAAACAATTTGGCAACCTTGGAATGGAGTTACTTTCCTTCGTCCGAGCGACGACGAATTGGACCTGCCTCTCGTGAAGGAGAAAAATCACGGATGTTTTTAAGCATTTACTTTATGTAGCATTTCGGCCAAAAAATTAAGTATGACAGAAAATCTACAACGTCAGCCGAGCCTCGCGGTTTGGGTGTTAGCACCGTCGACATGAGGTCAATACTCCATCAATTGAAATGTAGCCCTTGCCCCTTGCCCCTTGCCCCTTCATAAACCGGTGCGGAATGAAGCATGCGACATATTGAGCTTCTGTGTGTGCTGTGGTATCACTCAAAATTGAAGGCACTTTTTCATTCGTGGAGCCTATCGTCGGCGCGTTGCGCTGAATGTCTCTGTCAGTCGTCATACCGGACTTTAACTTTACATTGGATTTTCTCCCGCGAATTTTACGCGGTCAGTGGAGAAAAGATTTAGCTTAAGGCAGTTTTGCGCCCGTTTCCTACAAGGGGAGAGGAATAAATACGCCTGCCAAAATGCCATCCGTAATATTCGAACGGTCCCTCTTGTTTCCTGTGTTGAATTTTCCGATTTGTTTCAACTTTCTTTCATAGTCGATGCCACTATAAGGATCAGCAACTGTTTCTTTCATTCAGTGAAATACTAATTGCCTTTGGACATGTCAATAGATTGATTTAGTGGCTACGTCATAGTTCAATTGTAAACATACACTCAACCTTCACTGGAAAAAAAGTCTCTTGGATCTAGTGTCCAGACTCAAAAAAAATTTGACACGAAAATATACTGTTGATTCAATCGGCGTTTTGCTTGAATCAAAAGGATATGCGCTTAAAATAAGAGGCTGGCCCTCGATTCATGCAAAAATCTGATTGAATCAAGAGTAGTTCTTCTTGCCGAAAATTTTAAGAGTCTAGATTCAAGATCCAAGAGACTTTTTTTCCAGCGTTGCCTTTGATTGGCGTCGTTCGCGTCATGGTGGTCAAATGCACTCATGTGTTTCTTACGATCTAAATTTTACCCTAAATGAGTCCTTAATTGATTTAGGGCCTAACAATGCCTAAATTGTAATGAATCAACCCATTACTCACGAAGTTTTAAATTTAACTCACGAAGAATTTGTACGTGGGGCTACATTAGGTCACATTTTTACTGGTTTGAACCAAGAGTCCGATATTATGTATATCAAATGACGTAATCAAAAAATCAGTCATTCTGGCCATTCAAAGAAGACTATTTTTAAGAAAATTTTCCCCATAAATTTCATAAAGGGGAGGGCCGGGAGGCATTCGGTTTATTTTATGGTATCAAATATCACGCTCATAATCAGTTAGAACTCATAACGCTTATGATGTTTCGAAATTATGATCTATGGATTATGCAATGCAATCCTCTAAAGATCTAGATTTCAAGCAAATTCCGGTAATGATGGAAACAATTCTCCTTGAGATCCCTCCACGGGTGCAGAATGTTCACTAACTAACGACCGATCGGTAATTCGCGAACTGCGTAGGCAGTCTGAAAATTGCGCAGGCTACAACCGTGGATAATGAATTATATAAAATGCATTACTTTTTGATGAAAATGCGCTCCACTTATGTGTGCACCTTCCAAAGTTTTGTACACGCGCTGCCTTACGCATTTCGGAACTTTTACAATGGGCCAGTTGCGCTGGTAACATAATCATGTTTTGATGCTTGATTCTTGTAGATCAGCTGAAAATAAGATCTGTCCAAACAGCAACTTTCTAGGTTGAATATTAACCGAGATATCGTCCTTTTTGAAAAGGCGGGGTTTTGACGTCATCCATCGCGGTAGTGCATAACATGGTATGTATACCACCGCGGTGGATGACGTTATAAATCGAGTTTTTGAAGGCGCGATATCTAGTTAATATTCAACGTAGAAAGTTGCTGTTTGGACAGATCTTATTATTTTTAGTTAATCTGCAAGAAAAAGCATAAAACACGATTCTGGGACCACCGCAACAGACCCATTCTGTGCCGTGCTAAAGAAAAAGGCCGTATGAACCTTCAGGCGTTGCCAAATTGTCTTTGATAAAACAAAAATTCCCTGGTAAAGTTATGATGGTAACTATGGTAAACTTACTTTAATTTTCTTCCAATTTTTCAGAGAATTTTGTGCGTATTTTGATCTTAAGTATCTGAAAATTTCAAGGAAACATATTCATAGCTTTCCTAAAAAATGAACATTTTATCGAAGGAAATTTGGCAACTCTTGAATGTTCATACGACGTTTTTCCTGAACACGGCAGCATTGGCGCGAATCGCGAGTCGAGCAGGAGTCGAGACCTTTACTAGAGATTGGGTAGAGATCAAGCGATGTTTGAGGTATCCCACCAGTTTTGCAGGCGCTTCTTGTGATCGTTTTTGGCGCAAAATCCAAAGTTCCCTGGAATTTTTTTCCGGTAGATGAGGTTCCTTTTCACAGATCCCGATCACAGTCATGAAGCAACACATCTTTCTAGCATATCAACAACATTGAAAGAAAGTTTGGTCTCTTTTCCGCTGATTCAGACTTTTGAGAAAGAGAAGAAAAGTCGGATGGGGCGAAACGCGTGACGCAACTATTTCAGTGCCGTGGCGTGCTTTGCGATAAATCGATTTTTATGCCATTTAAACATATGGAAAAGGATCGATAAACAGGGTGTTCGCAGCGAACACCTTTATAATCGATTCTTTATCATAGGTTTAAAAAGCGAAACAATCCATACATCGCAATTCACGCCACGCCACTGAACCATTTCGATTTCCAAGTAGGTGTAATTGCGTGTCCACGCAATGAAGGAGAATTTTTTTTCCGCTGACTTAGTAGAAACTTAAAGGCTGTGTCTGCACCGAAGATCGCCTTAAAAATATCGAGGCAAAGAAGTTGGATGGGGCGAAACGCTTACCGTGACTATTTCGACTTCCAAAACGATAACATTGCAAATCGACAAAATGAAGAAGAACTCTTTCCGGCTGACCTACAATTAGAGACATTAACGCAGGAGCAGAAAAGTTTGATAGGGCATTAGGGCAAAACGTGTGATACAACTATTTCGACTTCAAGAATGATAAAATTCCATATCGACAAAATGAAGAACTCTTTCCGGCCTTATACGTAGGAGCAGAAAAGTTTGATAGGGCAGAACGCATGATATAAATATTTCGACTTCCAAGATGATTAAATTGCATATCGACAAAAGCAAGGAGAATTTGTTCTCGGCTGACGCCAAGACTTTAACGCAGGAGTAGAAAAGTTAGATGGGTCAAGAGCCAAGCCAAGAGCCAGACTCCGCCGCGCCGCACAGTGGATCGAGTCAATTAGAGAGGTCGGACATGAAATTTTTGACCAAAACTGCAATTTTTGGTGTTTATTTCGACACATTATACATTTCAAGGGGCATTTTCAGAAGCGAATTTCTCGAGGAAACCAATGGAGCCACTTTTTAGACCTGAAAGTTTTGTATAAACGGAGTTATACGCGGTTAAAGTTTCCAAATTTTGTCCGACCACTCCTATTGACTCGATCCACTGTGCGCCGTGCATAGGTGAGATGACGCGATGCGTGTAGTATACCTACAGTTTTGCAGGCTCTCTCCGCGATCGTTTCTCGCGCAAATTTCAAAGTTTCAGAGTCATAATAACGTACCAACCATACATAGAAACTTTTGTGTTTATTTTCCGCGATGCGTTTTAAACCTCAGGGACTTATCAGCCCTTCTAAGGCAGAGCTTACAGTCTCCATGAGGAACAGGTTTTTAGAGGAAATTATCTTTTAATTTTGGCCTGATCTCACGGCGGCGTCTTATGCCCCGGCCTCATTTTCATTGTTCATCCCTATTTTTCACACGTTTATATTTTCAATTTTTCTTAGGTATGACTAGGGCATGTGAGAGACATATAAAGTTCCGCTTGGAGTAAGAATTCTAATTAAAATGGCGCCCGGTAAAAGCCTTTTTCCTCCTACAGGCTGTGATCAGTCTTATAACAGGTCCATTATTCATACCTCGTAAATGTCCGTGCATTTCCTCGAGATGGGAAAGGAGAGCTAACATGTTTGTTCAAGATTTTTTTCTAAGTATGTAAAACTAATCCAGAGGCATATTTCAAAGCCCAGGAATGTTTNATTGTGGTCAGTGTAAAATTCCATTTGTTTGAGTCTTAGCAAGTCAAAGCAGCACAGGTTTCAATCAATTGCGATTACATAGCAAAATTACTGCTATTAAATCGGAGTGTTGAATGTGTTGTCCATTCTTTGTTTGAAGGGACTTCTCTTAGTCGCGATAAGTTGCACTTTTTTTGTATTTCGAATTGCCTAACGGCCTCACTCATGAAACTATTAGATCGTTTATGATGGGACTTTATGAACCAAACAATTTAAAAATAACACAATTTAAATGATAAAAAATTATAATTTTTTCCATTGACTTGTACCATTCTTTCAAATTTCCGTTGTTCTATGCTTCATGGGAACGATAATATTATATTTATGGCTTTTTTACTTTGGATTTATCTAATAAAACATTCATTTCTTTCTTTTACAGTCAATATTTTTTTGGTCTCCAACCTTCGTCAAGGCGGTGCGCAAAGACGGAAAATGTTCACCCTGCACCAGAACCGTTCCTGGATTTACAGATCATCACTTCATCACGGTAAAATCTCTCCAACTCTCAGAATGAATGGCGAACGAACCGACTATTTGTCTATTCTCTCAATTTTTCGAAGTGAGCTTTTGTAGTATACCTTCAGGAGCACTGTGCCGGGTTATTTACAATGTTTGTTGTTTTGCGCTGAAACACTCATTTTCTGACTGTTGCGTGGTTTTTATCGTCTCCTGAAAAAATGTCATTATTCCGAGATGGGTCGTTTTCGAATTAAATTCTCTCTGATATTCTGTCTTAGTAGACCCGAAAAATTGGAGAACGGAATGTCTTGAAAGTAAGAAATTCTCAGATTTTGCAAAAGCGCATACTTTTTGAATTTAACGGCAGCATTTAGTTATATTTTCTATCAAATGAAATGAATCGTGAGAGTAATATAGGCCACATTTTGGAGTTAGACTAATTGAGCTTGAAGGCTTCCATTTATGAACGTATCTCAATCAAAAGGAACTGTCTTCATCGTAACCTGGGCTCTGACACTCACAGTCGCACGAATTAAAGCATAGCGGGCTCTTGTCACAATGGAAATACTTTCTTTTGATTCAAATATGTCCACCTATGAACGAGTCCGAGGAAAATTATAAAGACCTTCCTCAAAGTAACGTTAACCAATTCCCCGCAATGGCGGCGAAAGGGAGGGAAAAATTCAAATGTATTCAGCATCATACACCAAACAGGGTTACACAAATTGCATTGATGAAAAACTAAGCAGGTTGCATACCCTCCAAATTGCAGGGTATTTTTGGAACTTGCAAAAATCAAAATTAAGGCCGCAATTATTAAGTGAATCCAAACTTGAAAAAGAGGGATGAAAAGCAATAAACAGGTGAATCTCAAAAACTGATTAAATTGACCTCTTTTAAGTAAGGGGCTTGGAGGACACTTGCAAAAAGTGCTGTTTTTACTAGTTCAAGAAATACGTGTTTCATTGTTCAAAATTACATGGAGCCTCGTAGCGAATAGAGAGTTGAAACTCATTTTTTGATGCTGGAAAATTAGATTTTAGCAGTGAATTTTTCACAGGGTATATTTTGGAGACTAGTTTTAGTTGAAATCATTAATATTTTAATTTTTTCATGAATTGCACATTTCCCACTTATCTGCCACACCCGTCACAACAATTCGTTTGATGGACTAGGGTTTACTATTTGAATATTGCGCTATTTAAAAGGTCGACACGGGATTATTTTTTTTCTGCCATAAAAATCTTGATTTACTTTGAACGTTACATTTGATGACCGTCTAAATGCCGCGAACTTTTGGCTCCTGCATGGATTGCTCATTTCTTTACAACGCCGAGTGCTTGTCATGCATTTGCTAACATTTACCAGCTGCTTGAAAACTATTTTCAGAAGTTAATTACTGTGGCTACTGGATTTCCTGGTGATCTTAATACTACATTATGCAATAAGGAACTACTATTTCTGGCTCATTCGTGAAAACACCTATATGTATAGGACAAGTCAAAGTGATCTTCCCCTTGAAGAGGAGAAGAAGAGGAAAAAGAATAATAAGAGAAGGAGGAAAAAGAATACTAAGAGAGGTAAGAAAAAGAGATAAAAGAAGAGAGAGAAGAGAGAGAAGAATAGGAAGAAAGAAAAGAGAAAGAAAACATGGAGGAAAGAGAAGAGGAAGAAGAACAGAGAGAAGCGAGACAAAAGAGAAGAAAGAAGATAGTAATGAGGAAACGGGAGAGAGTGAAGTAAAAGACTATGAAGAAAGGGTGGGGGGTCGAGAGAGGGGAGAAAGGGATAGAAAATAGGAGGAAGAGAAGAAGAGAAAGAGAAGAAAAAAAGGTGGAATGATAAAAAGAAGAGGAGGAAGAAGAATAAGAGAATAAAGAAAAGAGGAAAGAGGATGAGAAATGAGAGATGAGAAAAGAGAGATGAGGAAAGAAAAGTGAGGAAAGAGAGATTGAAGAATAATTCGAGGAAGAGGGAGAAAAAGAAGAAAAAGGTCCAAGAGAGGAAGAAGGGAAAGTAAAATCAGGAATAGAAGAAGGAAAAAAACGGAAAGTGAAAGAAGGAGATGAACAAGAGTAAAAAAAAGAGGTGCTAAATGTACAGATTTCAGAGAATTGAACGGAAACAGAGAGAAACGAGGAAGAACAAAAAAACAAGAAGAGGATGGACAAAAAAGGACGATAAAGAGAAAGAAGAGGCACGCCTTTCTGCGTGAGAACGCTACACTAGTGACACATGTGCGCCGTTTTAAAAATGAGCCTATAATATTAATTCCTCATTGCAAAATATAATTTTACATAATTAGGAATAAAGTAATGTTATTAAAAAGATTTCAGTTTTTTAATTCCTGAGCGGCAGGGATATATCTATCAAACGACGACGGTGAACTATAGACCGCGTATCTCGTTTCGATCGTACGAAATCATCTAAATGGAGGGGGGTTATTGGTGAAAGAGGGATTATTAAAGTTTTCGTGAGTGTTCTACGTTTGGAAAATAAAGAAAATTTAAAATGAAATTTGTCAAATTATTATCTTCATTCTACACTCTATCGACAATCTCCACTTCGTTCCGCTTTTTTTAAATTAGTAATTATAGTTTCATCCTTGTTACATAATTTCCATAGCAATATATTATTTTTCATTTAAACAATTTTCGTTCTGGGGCTGCAATGCTCCTTTCTCGAACTTAAATTTAGAAATTTTGCAGCGCTTGGACGTCTCAAGATTTGCCATTGATTGTGCGTAGCCTCTTGCATAAAAAAACTTTATCAATTAAGTGAGATTTATTCTGCTAGAGAAGAGGAGGAAGGAAAAGAGATAAAAGAAAAGAGAAGAAAAAGAGGTAGAAAAAAAGAGAAGAAAAGAGAAGAAAAAGAAGAAGAAAAAAAGAGAAGAAAAAGAGGTAAAAAGAGATGAGAGATAGGGGGAGAGATGAAAAGAGAGATAATAAAAGAGATGAGAGATAGGGGGAGAGATGAAAAGAGAAAAGAGAGATGAAAAGAGAGATGAAAAGAGAGATGAAAAGAGAGATGAAAAGAGAGAAGAAAAGAGAGAAGAAGAGCAGGAAGAAAAGAGAAAGAAGAGCAGGAAGTAACGAGAGAAAAAGAGAAAAGGAAGAACAGGATGGAGAGAAAGAAGAAAAGAACAAAAATTCAATTAACTTTCGTACTTTACTTTTCAGTCCCTCCCCCTCCGAAATAAAGTGGTCTTAGGGATTTTAAATATTCTAGCGCCCAGTATTATTAGAACGGGGGGCGTACGCTACCGCAGCTTTTGGTTTGGGGTCGCAGTGGTGCTTGCACTTCCGTCGGACGGTCGGCAGCCATGGCATCCGTTGAAGGCCGAAACCAATGACCCAGGACCCGGGTGCACGGCAAGGCCTGAGGGCGGTAGAGAAAACCCCTTCGGTAGATAAAACATGTCTGAGTTGGCAGGGGTCCATGATGGCGGGACGAATAATTAAAATCTCTTCCTCATCTCTAGTTTTTTTCTTTTAGTTTGTGTTAGGGAGTGGATGGGTACAGGTCTAATGAGTATGTATGGGACTACTATCTTCTTTACTTTTCTTGATATTTCAAACGCACAATGCTCACGAAAATTCTATTCCCTCCTCTTTCACCAATAACTCCCATCCATTCATGGGACTTCATATGATTATCTTCGTATCGTTTCTCTTCTTTTTAATTAGTAATGATAGTTGCACAATTGGTAGTTATTTTTCCTAGCAATAAATTAGAGCTCCTTATCCCTATCTTTTTCATCAATACGATTTTTGTTTTAGGGTTAAAATGCCCCTTTCTTTGGCATAAATTAATTATTAAAGAGAATAGAGGATGAATAAGGAAATAAGTGACTTGGGGGGGGGGAGGAATTCCGTTGTAGAGAGTGGAATTGAGACACTAAAAGTGCAGTAGAAATTTAATAAATAATATAATTTAATGTAATAATACAATTTAATAAAAATAGAGCTTGATGCCATTGAACAATATGGCG